TGCACAGACATACCATCAAGGAACATAAAGAAGATGACCTCTGCACACCTGTGGGACACCATTTCGCACAACCAGACCACATTATGGAAGACCTCAATGTTTTAGATCTTAACCTCCCTGGCGGTATGATTATTTCAGATTTTTGGTGCTGAAAGCGGTACCATTTTTTTTGCATGGAAATATGTATTTTTTTTTATTGTAGGCTGTAATTTTTAGGAAAAACTCACTGAAATCTGTCCGAACAAGAGTCTAGTAAACATCCCGGGTATGATAAAATTTGAAACACAAAATCATAAATTATAATTTAATAAATAATCATAAAAATAATATAAAAAATAATAAAAAATTTAATTCAATAATATAATCAAACCAAAAACACTGAAATGTGAAATAGAGCGCCAAGTTCGCACATTGCTGAGCTCAGTCGCAAAATCGTTTTCAGTTTCTGATGACGAATTTCCCCCACGAATCATTATCACTCAATTCTGTAAGTGGTTCTGATTTACTATCGCTGTTCTCTAGCTGATCTAAACCGCTTTTGACCTAAAGGGACACTTTTTGGATGCCATGGACATTTCTCAGTTTCCAGGCAGAAAGAACAGACAAAATGCAGGCAGGGCGCAGGACAAAGCACTAGGGACAATATGTATGTGAAATAGGTTGAAAAACAGCAATGTTTTACTGTGTAAAATGAAAAAAAAAAAAAAAACATTGACATTTTTTAAAATTTTTAAATTTCCCGCCGCCGGCGGCGGCGGCGCCCGTACGTCCCGACGTCACAGGGACAGGACACAGAAGCCGGATGCCGGCATCGGCCGGAGGAGATGGCCGGGGACGCTGCAGGGGACACATCGTGGGAGTGCAGGGTAAGGTAAGTGAAGAACACATGCCGGAGCAGCGCCGCATGGTATTCCCGAGTGTAGCTCGGGGTTACCGCTTTTGGTACTGAAATGTTACCCCGAGCTACACTCGGGAATACCGCCAGGGAGGTTAAAGGAAATTTCAAATCCATTCAGGAAAGAAAAACTTTTGAACTAAGAATGATAATTCTATTTGACACAAGAGATAATGGCCTTAATTTGGACATGGAATTCCTCAATCATTATCCAATATATTTATGACTCCCTCTGTGAGTGCTGTCCCCCCCCCCCCCCAGTCTTTGCTTTTGCTTTGCTGTATCTTATCTCTAGGCTAACCTTAGGTTTGTGTTTCTTTCTGCTTTTTTTTTTTCTCAATCCCCACATATCTTCTGACATTCTGCTAAAAATTTGTAACAGTACTGCTTGGACCTTGAAGAAGGGGACATTCCCCGAAAGCTTATCCTCAGAATTCTATGTTAGGGCAAATAGAAAAAGTATCACGGACAGTACTGAATTGTTTCTGTTGCAAGTGCACTAATACAGCTACAGTCACCTCAATGCTGCAAGAAAGGAACTTTGAAAATAGGATTGCACTGTTTGCACTATTATTGCACTGAAGAATTTATATTTTTGCACATTTATATATTTGTTATATTTTAATAGATTTACAGGAGGGCTGTTTCATTTGTTATTGATTTTTGAAATGTTACTGTAAGCGTAGATTTCTTTCAAGATTTATTGTTTGTTCTCTCACCTAGTGTGCTCTGAACTGGATATTTCATAGGTAGCCATGGGGAAGGAGCAATGTTATGTTGGTAATTGTGTTGTTTTATACTGTATTTATACTGCCGTTTTATAACTGCCCAACCCATCCTGTGCATTATAGTGCCTTAATTAAAGTTCCAGTTTAGTGTTTTGCCTGTTTAACCACTTCAATACCGGGCACTTTCACCCCCTTCCTGCCCAGGCCAATTTTCAGCTTTCAGCGCTGTCACACTTTGAATGACAGTTGCATGTTCATGCAACACTGTACCCAACTGAAATCTTTATCATTTTTTTCACACAAATAGAGCTTTCTTTTGGTCATATCTAATCACCACATGTTTTTTTTATTATTTGCTAAATAAAAAAAAATGCAGTTCTCTTTTTTCTGTTATAAAATTTTGCAAATAAATAATCTTTCTTCATAAATTTAGGCCAAAATGTATTCTGCTACATTTCTTTGGTGAAAATAACCCAAAATCAGTGTATATTATTATTCTGTAGAAAGTTATAGAGTCCACAAACTTTGGTGTATATGTATCTGAAAACCAATCAGTCCTGATGTACTCATTTCTTGAGGCCCGAAAATGCCAGGATAGTACAAATATCCTCCAAATGACCCTTTTTTGGAAAATAGACAGTACAAGGTATTTAGTAAGAGGCATGGTGAGTTTTTTGAAGTTGTAATTTTTGTAACAAATTAATTTTTTTAACAATTTTTTTTTTTACATGCTGTCACTTGTGAAGTACAGCGTAATCATATAACTGGTGTGGCAGTGATCAAAGACACTGAATGGTGGCAGTATGTTAAAAAAAAAACCCAACATACAAATATTATACTTTTTTACTATACTTTTGTTTTCTTTTTTTACATACTGTGACCTGAACAATACAGTGTTACCTTATAGTAATGTACACTGTACTACTCTGGGTAGGTGAGCAGGATTTTTTTCTACACACTATGATTGCTTATAATAGTTTCTGTATGAAATATATTCATTCAGTGGTTACTATTGTGATTAGCTGTGATTGGCCACAGCTAATCACATGGTACAGATCGGCTGTGATTGGCCCTGTCTGTACCATGTGCTCACTGTGACCATTCACAAAGATCTACACAATAGTACAAAATGAATGGCATGAATGGAAGTCATCCATTGTGCACAATTGTCATGTGATCTGCAGTGATTGGTCACAGTGATCACATGGTACAGGAAGCGGGCCAGTACACTGATCTGTCAGTCGGCACAGCGGGTGACAGATCACCCAGAACAGCAAATGTCCCGCCAAGCCATTATTTTACTATAGACCGGGCAGGAGGGTGTTAAAAGTGGTTATAAACCCTTACATTAGGGGTGTCAAACTGGCGGCCCTCCAGCTGTTGCAAAACTATAAGTTCCATCATCATGCCTCTGCCTCTTGCAATGCCTCATGGGACTTGTAGTTTGGCAACAGCTGGAGGGCCAGCAGTTTGACACCCGTGCCTTACATATACCCAGTGAAGTGACTGGCCTTAGGTTATACACAGATGAAACATGTCCACCTACATACGTTGTACCTATCTGCGGTCTTCTCTTCTCTACATCCATTCAAAATGCTGAACTTTAAAGCTTGTTTGAGAGTTCAGAAAAAAGGGTCGGAGAGCTGAAGTTACATTCTGCAGAGCTCAGTGAGAAGAGTTCTGTGAGCTGATTTGAGGAAAGAGACACACCCCCTTCCACCCAGCTCATAGGAAGAGAGCTAAGATTGCTGGAGGTCCCTCCCCTGTCACCATTTTTCTCTTGGTGTTAGGAAAACCTGTCAGAAGTGAATCATGCTGATAGTTGAGGAATGATGCCACAGACAGAAATGACACTTAACGGAGACAAGTACACACTATAGAGGGATATGCTTTGTTCATATTTCATGTCTGAGGTTTACAATCACTTTAATAAAGCCCATTGTACAGTTTCAGATGTGTCTTTGTTTCTTGGGTCCAGATTTAGTCATCATTGGACAGGGCAGGAGGAACCAAACAAATGCAGTGGCTTTTGAACGGGTATCTCCATTAATATTTGATCAAAGTGTTGATACTCTGTAAATGGTATTAGAATATTAGTCAGAAAAACAGAATAGAGTTGATTTACTAAAAAAAAAAAAAAAAAGGTCACTGAGCTTAGTAAATACAATGAAGTTGTGTTCACACCAATCAACCAATTATGTCCTAGCAAACATCCATTGTTTTCTGCTTTTGCAGCAGAGAATGTACAGTTCTTTGAATAAGCATTCATCCTGTCCCAGGGGCACAGTGCACCACCGATTGCTGCGCTGCTATCACACGGTGGCGAGTAAGCCCTTTGATGCTAGGGACAGGCAGTACAGAGGGGGCAATTGATGGTGGGGACAGGCAGTACAGAGGGAGGAAATGATTGTTGAGCAGGCAGTACAGATAGAGGCAGTTGATGGTAGGGACAAGCAGTACAAAGAAAGGCAGTTGAAAGGGGGACAGGCAGTACAGAGGGGGGAGTTGATGGTGGGGACAAACAGTACAGACTGCCCAGGTGATGGTGGAGAACAGGAGGTACAGAGGAGGCAGTACCCACAGTTTCCATCCTCCATCACTCATGCCCCCATCCCCTGACCCTAACATTGACCTTGTCCTTGAGCTCCATTCCCAGGCTCTGGGAATGCTCTCTCTTTCTCTACCGCTCTACTTCATGTAAGTCTAGGGGGTGGGGCTAAGCCTACACCACATCCACAGCCAATCACATTTCACCTTCCTCCTCCTTATCCACTCTATGTGCTGCCCAATCAAGTGGCAGAGAGTATGGGGGGGGGGAGCACCACCTCAGCAGAGCAACATTAACCAAACAGTGCAACAGTTATTACATTATATAAAACAGAAAACACATAACAATTATTCTGGAAGCACCTGCTGAAAAAATGGGGATGTCTGCTCATCATATTTTACACATTTTATAGTGTCACAGTTTGAAATTAAATGGATGTAAAAGAAACTTTTAATCTTTTACACTCTGAAGAAATACAAAAACAATCAAAATGGTAGCTTTTTAATGGTTTCATATTTTTTTCTCACTTTTGTTTTATACACAGCTCCAGGCTTTTTATGTTAAGTTAATTTGAACTGAAATGATTAAATAAAGTCTGCATTCACCAGCAGCTGCCATGATTATGTATTTCCAATTATTTTCCGGATTCCAAGAAAACAAATCTGATGTAGCACCCTCAATTGTAGATTCCAGTGACTATAAGGCCTCCTTCACAGTATTCACATATACACTTTATTGAAAAAAGTATTGGGACAGCCCTCCAAATCATTGGATTGAGGTGTTACAATCACCTCCATGGCCACAGGTGTATAAAATCAAGCACCTAGGCAAGCAGACTGCTTCTACAAACATTTGTGAAAGAATGGGTTGCTTTCAGGAGCTCAGTGAATTTAAGCATGGTACCGTGATAGGTTGCCACCTGTGCAATAAGTCCATCCATGAAATTTTCTTGCTTCTAAATATTCCACAGTCAGTTGCTAGTGATTTTAAAACAAAGTGGAAGCAACTGGGAACAACAGCAACTCAGCCACGAAGTGGTAGGCCATGTATAATGACAGAGCAGGGTCACTGCACGCTGAAATGCAAAGTGCACAGAAGTCACCAACTGTCTGCAGAGTCAATAGCTAAAGACCTCCAAACTTCATGTGGCCTTCAGATTAGCATACCAACAGTGCATAGAGAGCTTCATGGAATGGGTTCGAACAGCTGCATCCAAGCCTTACATCACCAAGTGCAATGCAAAGTGTCGCATGCAGTGATGTAGAGCACACCGCCACTGGACTCTATAGAGCAGTGCAGACGTGTTCTCTGGAGTGACAAATCATACTTCTCTGTCTGGTAATCTGATGGACATGTCTGGATTTGGTGGTCACCAGGAGAATGGTACTTTGCTGACTGCATTGTGCCTAGTGTAAAGTTTGGTGCAGAGGGGATTATGGTGTGGGGTTCTTTTTCAGGGGTTGTGCTTGGCCTCTTAGTTCCAGTCAAGGGAACTCTTGAGGTGTCAGCATACCAAGACATTTTGTACAATTTCATGCTCCCAACTTTGTGGGAAACAGTTTGAGGATGGCCTTCCTGTTCCAACATGACTGCACACCAGTGCACAAAGCAAGGTCCATAAAGACATGGATGAGTGAGTTTGGGGTGGATGAACTTGACTGGCCTGCACAGAGTCCTGACCTCAACCCGATAGAACACCTTTGGGATGAATTAGAGCAGAGACTACAAGCCAGGCCTTCTCGTCCGACATCAGTGCCTGACCTCACAAATGGGCTTCTGAAAGAATGGTCAAACATTCCCATAGACACACTCCTAAACCTTGTGGACAGCCTTTCCAGAGGAGTTTAAGCTGTTAGAGCTGCAAAGGATGGGCCAACTCAATACTGAACTCCATAGGCGGGGATGCCATTAAAGTTCATGTGTGTGTAAAGGCAGACATCCCAATACTTTTGGCAATATAGTGTATCTGTGCTAGTGTGCAGTAGAGATGTGCAAGATGCAAACATTTGCTTTGTTTAAGATTTGTTTAAGTGAATAGTTTTGTTTCAGTATATTCGTTATGTTAGAATGATTTGTTTTAGCAATTTGTTTCATATATTTGTTTTTTTCAAATCAATTTGAAATGAATTCGAATTTGAAAATTAATTTGAATTGGAAATGGAAGCATATTGCATTTAATACAGTAAAGTAAAAATTTAAATAAGATGATTCCTACTTAGGCTGCTTTATAGAATAGAAAAGAATAGAATAAAACTGAATAGAATAGAAAAGAATAGAATAAAACAAAATAGAATAGAATAGACAAGAAAACAAAGGAATAGAATAGAAAACAAAGGAATAGAATAGAATAAAACAGAATAAATTATAATAGAAAAAACTGAATAGAATAGCAAAAAACAAAAAAAGAATAGAAAATAGAAGAATAAAATAGAATAATATAAAATATTATATTCTGTTTTATTCTATTCTGTTCTTTTTTTTTTTTTAATTTAAATATTTATTAAATTTTTCATATTAATACAAAAGTCCCAAAACAGGGAAAAAAAAATTCTCAATACAAATAAACATTTATAACATTTCTATCTTTCCCTTATTAAAACGAACTCTTTTCTTTCCCATCCCACTATCTCCCCTTCCCGCCCCTCATCCCCCCTCTTCCCTCTGCAGACTCCAATCCATTCTGATCTAATAAGGCTTATCCATTTTATTGTTAACCTCTTAGATTATATTTTCTTATATTTCTCCTTCAATCTTGCTCTTTCCCACTTTTCCCATCTCCTAGAATACACTCCCATCCTATCTTCATGCATATGGTATGATTTTTCCATTCTACCAATCTGGTTCACTCTGTTAATCCAGTCTTCCTCCTTCGGTACCTCGGCTCTTCTCCAAAACTTGGGTATCAGCCCTTTCGCTGCATTCAAGAAGTACCAAATACCTGAATCTTTATATTTATTTACAGATGTCTCTACCTTGTGTAGGAGGCACGTCGTTGGGTCTAACCCTATGTCAATTTCGGTTATTTCCTCAATCAGTTTAACTACTATCTTCCAAAAGGCCTGAATTTTCGGACATTCCCACCATATGTGAAACGCCGTGCCAATCTCTCCACATCCTCTCCAACACTTATTTGAGTTTTCCCCATTCATCTTATGCTCTACACTCGGTGTAATGTGCCATCGTGTCATACACTTGTAATTAACCTCAACCTCTCTCATACTAACATTATCGTGTATCAATCTAAACATCTTTCTTTGTCTATCTTCGTCAAACTCAACTCCCATGTCCCTTTCCCATTTTGTAATAAAAGTTGACTTTGTGTTTGTGTCTAATTCTGTGAGTATTCTATACACTTTTGAAATACCGTGTTTCCCATCACCTCGTGTCCCCAACAACCTTTCAAACATATTCCACTCCTGTTTTATTCTCAGGGGTTTCGGTAGATTTCCAATAAAACATTTCAATTGATGATACTTCCACTCATCTATTCTAATAAAAATATCTCCCTTCTTCTCTATTAAATCTTTAAGTGATCTCAGTTCCCCTTCCACCAAGACATCACTCAGTTGGGTGTCCTCCTTTCTAAACCATCTCCCTGATATCTTATTCTTTCCCGGGGGGAAATACTCAGTATTTGTGAGAGGCATTAATATAGAATTGAATTCCCATTTCATGTTTTTGTGTAAAGTGTCCCATACCCTAAAAACATTTAATGTGTACATACTTGTGCTTTCTTTAATTCCCCTAAACTGTGTTGGGACCCATATCATCTGACTCAATCTAGTGCCACTAAGATCATTTTCAATTGTTACCCAACTTTTCCCCTTATGGTTAAATGTCCAGTCATATATTCTTGCCAAAACCACTGCTTTATAATATCTCTTGACATCTGGTAGACCCATTCCCCCTTTCTCTTTAGTCCTACTCAATGTTTCATATGCTATTCTAGGTTTCTTATTCCTCCATATATATTTTGTTAACATTCTTTTCATTATCTTAAAGAAGGCCTCTGGAATTTTAATTGGTACCATTTGAAATCTATACAGTATTTTAGGCATAATTACCGTTTTGACCAGGTTTATACGTCCTATCCAGGCTGGGTTTCCTCCTTCTAATCTTTTTAAATCTTCCCTGATCTCATTTATCAAAGATATATAGTTTAATCTATACAAGTTCTTGAGTGAGGCAGTAAGCTTTATTCCTAGATACTTTATCTCTTTTTCTCTCCATATAAAGGGGAATTCTTTTTGTAGTTTTTCTTTTTCATTCTTTGATATATTAATATTCAGGATCTCTGTTTTCGTTGGATTAATTTTTAAGTTTGAAAGTTCACCGTACTCCTTCAGAATCTTCATTATATTTGGGAGAGTTATTCGAGGATTCCCCACATAGAACAATAAGTCGTCCGCAAAGGCCGCCACTCTATGTTCTGTGGATTCTATCTGTATTCCCTTTACCGATCCACTATTTCTTATTATTGACAACAGAGGTTCGAGTGACAATACATATAACAGAGGGGACAGTGGACAGCCTGTCTTGTCCCATTAGACATTCCAATGGGTTCTGATCTCCCCCGTTTACCGTGATGATTGCAGTAGGCTCACTATATAATTTGCTTATCCACTCTCGCATTCTATCGCCTATCCCCAGCACTTTTAAATTATCCATCATGAAGCCCCAGTCCACTCTATCGAATGCCTTCTCTGCGTCAATCGACAAGAGCACCACCGGGTCTTTCCCTTTTCTACTCTTCTGAATAAGCATCAGGGTTCTCAAGCCGTTATCTCTACCTTCTCTCCCTGGTACGAAGCCCACCTGATCTCCATGGATCCATTCAGGCATCAGATCCCTCAACCTGTTTGCTAACACCTTTGCATACAGTTTAGTGTCAGTGTTCAATAATGAAATAGGTCTATAGCTGGAGCACTGAGATGGATCTTTTCCTTCCTTATAAATAAGTACTACATGGTATTCTATTCTGTTCTACTATATTCTATTCTATTTTTATATTTCTATTCTATGTTGTTTTATTCTATTCTGTTCTATTCTTTTCTGTTTTATTCTTTTCTATTCTATTCTATAAAGCAGCCTAAGTTGAAATCATCATCTTATTTCAATTGTATACCTGTATTTATTGCAATGTTTGCATTTCAAATTCAAATTAATTTTCAAATTCAAAATAATTTTTTTATGCAAATTCAAGTTCTTTTTCAAATTCGGATAATTCATTTTGTTATGTTATAATTTAGTTAGGATTTATTGAAATTTGTTACTGTTGTGGTTTGGAAATTCTGATACATCCAAATCTCTTAATAACAAAAATGTAGTCTGTATTTCAATTCATACAGAAACGATTCTCACATGTCTAGTGTGTAGGGTACTAAAATAAACAAAACCAGTGAGTGGCGCTGTGCACTAAGAATCAAGTACCTGCAATTTACACTGATGTCAACTGAGGAAACACATGTGAACTGATGAAAAGATGTGGAATTATAAAGCAAACAGATATTAACAGATATAAGTGTAATAAAAGCTTAAAAAGCAAAGTAGAAAAGAAAGTGAGGTTAAAAAAAACACTTCAAACCTCTACTCTTTTTTTTTGTAATCACTTTCTGTGGAGAAAGGATGTTTTTTAAGAGCAAACATTTAGAGGTCTATTTTTTTTTTTAAAATGCCGTACAAATGTGACAAAAATTCGCACACACTGCAACAAAAAATTGTATTTTGTGTAATATGATCATTTCCTTTGTCCGTAAAAAGTGCCATCTAGTGGCCATAGCACAATATTTTTCCTCAAATCTTTCAATCAGAAAAATACAGCATTGTGGCCAGTAGGAAATAATCATATCACACAAAATACAGTGATCTTTATAGATCTTTTTTTTTTATGAATAGACCCTTTTTGGTCAAATGTTGCTAAACCGATCTCTGTATCTGTTCGTAAACAATTTCTAGATAATAAAACCGGCTTTTCTCTATCCCCTATGAAGAAGAAATGTGTGAACAATTTCCTGCGATAATAAGACCTATTTCCTTTTTCATCTATTTTTTTGTCTATTTTCCATGAAGAAATGATCATTATTACTGTCACAAATATTTCCTTGAATTACAGCATTATGTGGGAGTGAAGGAAGTACAGCTATCCTGAGTAAACAATATGTTATCTGGTCTAAAGAAAACCGGTATTGTGGGTGCTTT